ATGCTTTTTATCTTTTTTATACGTGTGGTGTTATACATTTCATCCATTCTTATATAATCATATCCAGAGATCTTGCTGGCTTTCTTAAAGGAGAAAACACGGAAAGATTCAAACGGAAAACGACCAGGAAAAGTAAAAAGTATACCCATATAAACCTACACAAAGACACTGAAACTGAAGATACAACACCCCAGCAGAAAGACATAACTACCGACGTACACAATACAACAAGCTTCTCAAAACGAGAATGAAACTCGCACTTTTGGTGGTGGCATCTGATGTAATTACGAGAGCTGGGTGAAGACTCGATTCAGGAACCGATTCCCACGATTAGTGCTGAAGAAAAGTTCCGACTCATTTTTACGTAAACCAACAGTAATCAGCTTCTTTAATCACTAAAATCTTCTTTAAAAAAAATAAATTAAAGTTGATGCTTTGTAGTGTTCCGAAATCAAGGTCATCCTAAATCTTGAAGATGTTTTGAGCCAACCAGGTAACCACCGGAAGAAATTATATAATTAGAAAGTAAGTAATTGGGTTAGGACTCGATACCTACGACTCCTAGCTTTCAATAATCGGGAACCTAACCGCCCAGCACTAGTAATTACACTACATATACCGGTATGAACAAGGGCGAAACATCTCGGGAGGTCCCGTGTGAAAGTTGCGAACATTAAATATCACTTGGTGGTCTGGAATCGATAAGTATAGCCTTCGGCCGCCACCCTGGCAAAACTCAAAATTTCCTACCAACTAAAAATGTTTCTATGTGTCCCGCGTGCTCATATGACCTTATGCAGTTGCGAGCACCGTAAAACACTTATAACAAAAAAAAAAAAGAAAAGAAAGTACTCCAGTGAGCAGAGGAGTGTATGTGTGGAGTATCTGAAAATGTCAAGAACAGTGTAGTGTATCGTCCAATTGATTTCTTGTTGTCTTCGATCACATCAATCCGTCCGACGTAAGGCTGTACAAAAAATGAAATTCTGAAATGGCTTTGCTTTAAGAAAAAATCGTAGTCATAATATTATTTATGATCATATGGGAGTGAGTAAAGATAACACAAAGATAGTCGACACAATAACGATCGTTTAGTGTAGGAATATTTAGTGTATGTTCGGTGAAATCGGTGAAATCAGGCGCCCGTCAAAATAACAAAACTGGAGGAATAGGCTTTTTTCTGCCTGTTTGGCATTTTTTGACGATTTAAAAAAAACCTCAGTCCCTTTTATGTCCATATAAAAAGACATTTCCGAGCGAATTTTACTGAATAACGTTGATTGAAGACACACATTATGTCATTTTTCAGTGTTCAAGGACTCTTTCGCTGTTGGAGTTACCAAACTTTGGCGGCCATTTTCCCTCAAATTTCACCATTGAAATCAATCAACCTCACCCCCTTCAATCTCAAATACTTTGACTTCTATTCAAGATAGATGGGTGTTTTTTTTCCACTGAAATCAAAGCAAATAAATGAGCTTTCAGATATCACCAATAACTCTACATGACATGCCCAAAAATTTGCGAGCGCCTGATTCCACCGCGTATTCCACCACAAAATAATATATTAATTAAGACATACCGACAAAAGCAAAGCAGAAGACAAGAAGTAGGACCTATCTATGGTACCCTCCAACTGAGGATTTTAGCAGGCCCTGTCGTCAGTTAAAACGATTATTCTACGTTCATACATGGTTATTTTAGTTGTTACAGAGCGGACTTCTCTACAACTCAATCACCCCGCTGAAATCCCCTTCTGAAGGACGAAGGAGGCTTTTCGAAATACATGCGTCAGCAAAGGTGTGTGTGTGTGTGTGTGGGG